TGATTTTTTTAAATGACAAGCCATCAGCCATGTTAGTTGCTTATTTTATTTTTAGCTTGGTCACCATATTTTTCTACCCTTTTTCACACCCTCAGAATAAACAATATATAGCCCAGCCTTTCTGTTATAGAGAGAGGGCGAGAAAAATACTACAGGATATAGAATTCCTTTTTGTGGAGAATTTGCTGTATCCAGAAAATAGATAATTATTACTGCCAACATCTGAGAGGAGCACAAAAATAACTTGATATTTCTAATATCTCTTTTATGTAATTTTTATGTGATTTTTAAATATCAAGATGCCTAACATTCAGTAGACAAAAATTTCTAGGTAATTATCTGATTTTTGGTTCTAATTTTCCATTCTTTTTGTTTTGGTAGAATCACATCCCAGAATTTCAAGATAATAGGAGCTTTCTTGTGAAATGTGGTTACCACTTTTAAGGCTCTTTTTGTCCCCTAGTCCTTGTAGTTTTATAATCCCCTCATAATCTCCACAGCTGGATTTAACCCTTTTACCCTCACCTGTAAATTTGCCTTTCACCACAGTCCCTGGCATTAGTTCTCTGTCTTTGGAAGACTGGGGACTGGATGGCACAGAGAAGCTGCAGGTCAGTGGCTCCTGAGTTCAGTGCCCTGTGACTATAATTCTGATCTTGGGCCCATTCCAAGTATGGAGTCTTACCTGTTTCCTTGTGAGCCAACCACTTCTGCACCCCGGTATGAGTGAGTGGGTTTGGGTCTCTAAGACCCCAATGCCTCAATCCCTATTTTGGTTTCCTGCCTCAACTTCTAGAGACTGATGCTTTGTCTAAAACCTTAACCCACGTCTTCTTGCGGATTAGAGATCTGCCAACAAACCCAGGCCCCTTTACCTGGTTCCCACGACCTATTGCCAGATCTTCCAGACTATAAGCTGCTCACTTTCTTGGATCACCTTCCACCATGTAGGGCTCAAACTCCCCTTGATTGCTTTCTCAGCCCTGCATTCTGATGGGCATCCAGGTATTACCTATACCTGTATGGCTAGTCATTCGTGTACTACTCTTAATTGATTGTGTGGTTTCTTATACACATTTTTTCAAAACCTAGTAATAAAATGCTAGATTGTAGAAGAGGTCCAATGGGACAAGGAACATTTCTCTCTCTTCTTTATTAAGGCACCCCCAGTGCCAGAAATAACACTTGATTTTTAAAAATTAAACAGATAAAGAACAAATGAAATAGTTGCTTAAATGAGAGAGTCTTGATCTAAGGACATATGTGTTTTTCTAACCATCTTTATGAGGTCCTTTAGCTACTCAGTGGCACTTGTGGCCCTCAAAGGACTGAAATAATCACAGGCCTAGAATGTTCAGGTAAGGAAGGAATGCAATACTTACTCTTGGAAACATTCATTCTTTCAGGGCATTTGGATGTGCTGTTGCAGCCTCAGGCCATCTTAAATCATGTGTATAAGATTTCTCGGTTGGGATTAATGATCAGGTGATCTGATGGTTAACCTCCAGCTCCTTGGGAGGAGTGAGGGTGCATGGGACTCAGACTTTGAGAGCCTAGATTCATGGCAATCACAGCATCCACTTTTTCAAAGCCTCATTTATGTGTTTCCTCACTATTGCTTATACTTTGTTTCCTCCTTTCAAAAAACCCTTATTTTCTGATAGCACAATCTTTACTTAATTGAATGCTAGGTAACAAAGCTTGTTGTTCATTCTGTTTTTAGCCTACTTGCTCTAGCCTGTGTGACAAATTTTATCCATTGGAGCTTGAGTAAATATACTGTTACTTTGGAGCATGTGAGTATTGATTTATTCTGTATGTGACTGAGGGCACAGTACTTGGGATTCGGATGGCACTTGACCAGATAGATATTCAGTGAACAAATGAATATCATTAGTTTTGGGAGAAAATGTAGAGAAGTGGCTAAAAAGAGCATTTATTTTGGATCAATGCACTCTTGGGCATGAGTTCCAGCTCTTTCATCTAGCTTTATGACTTTGGAAACAGGAATATTAAAAGTTCTTTCCTCTTTGGATTTTGTGAGAATTAAATTAGATAATATGTGTAAAAATATTTAGCATTGTGCCTAGGGGCAGAGTAGACACTAAAAGACATAGCTATTAATGTTTTCATCATTAGCATCATTATTAGATAATTTCTTTGGATTGTTTCTCAGAATGTCTTCCAAACAGGTTGGCTTGGAAAATTTCTGCTCATTCTTTAACTCTTGGCCCAAATAATGGAAATGAAAAGAAAGGAAGATTCTGAGAGATCTTGAAGGAAGAGTTGAAATCGGTTGGGACTGGTTGTGGCTTGATACCAACATAGGATGGAACCAAGGGTAACCTCAAGGTGTTAATGGTGGAATGATGGCAACTTTAACTGTCTAGGGAGGATGCAAGGCAAGGGAAAGGTGTTCCTGGATAGTCACTGGTAGATGAGGTTTTAGGCATGTTGTATTTGGCTGTCCTCCAGGACTCCGGAATGTTGATACAGCAGAAACCAGGCAGAGGCCATTTCTCTCCAGCCAACTTTTGGGTACTCAGTGGATAATTAATGGCAGAGATATTATAGAATTGTCGTGCTCCCCTCTCTCTTTCCTGTCAGTCATATTTTGAGTATTATTCTGCTGATAGGCAATGAGGCAGCACAAAAGAAGGGAGAGGGTGTGAAATGCAAATCAGTCATTTGTTGTTGTTTTTAAATATATTTAATTGATTATGCTATTACAGTTGTCCCATTTTCCCCCTGCACTCCCCTCTACTCTCCACACCCACTTCCACCCACATTTCCCACCTTTAGTTCATGTCCATATGCCATACTTATAAGTTCTTTGGCTTCTACATTTCCCATATTATTCTTGCCCTCCCCCTGTCTATTTTCTACCTACAATCTATGCTACTTATTCTCTGTACCTTTTCCCTCTTTCTCCCCCTCCCACTCCCTTGTTGCTAACCCTCCATGTGATCTCCCCTTCTGTGGTTCTGTTCCTGTTCTAGTTGTTTTTGCTTTTGTTTGAATTGTGGTTGTTAGTAATTGTGAGTTTGCTGTCATTTTACTGTACATGTTTTTTATCTTCTTTTTCTTAGATAAGTCTCTTTAACATTTCATATAATAAGGGCTAGGTGATGATGAACTCGTTTAACTTGACCTTATCTGAGAAGCACTTTATCTGCCCTTACATTCTAAATGAAAGCTTTGCTGGATAGAGCAATTTGGGATGTAGGTTCCTGCCTTTCATGACTTGGAATACTTCTTTCCAGCCCCTTCTTGCCTGTAAGGTCTCTTTTGAGAAATCAGCTGACAGGCTGATGGGAACTCCTTTGTAGATAACTGTCTCCTTTTCTCTTCCTGCTTTTAAGATTCTCTCCTCTTTACAATGTGCCTTGGTGTGTTCCTCCTTGGGTCCAACTTCTTTGGGACTCTCTGAGCTTCCTGGACTTCCTGGAAGTCTATTTCTTTTTCCAGATTGGGGAAGTTCTCTTTTATTATTTGTTCAAATAACTTTTCTACTTGTTGCTCTTCCTCTTCTCCTTCTGGTACCCCTATGATTCGGATGTTGGAACATTTAAAGATGTCCTGGAGGTTCCTAAGCCTCTCCTCATCTTCTTGAATTCTTGTTTCTTCATTCTTTTCTGATTGGGCGTTTCTTTCTTCCTTCTGGTCCACTCCATTTATTTGAGTCCTAGTTTCCTTCCCATCATTATTGGTTCCCTGTGCATTTTCCTGTATTTCACTTATTGTAGCGTTCATTTTTTCATCTAATTTGCAACTAAATTCAACCAGTTCTGTGAGCATCCTGATTACTAGTGTTTTGAACTGTGCATCTGATAGGTTGGCTATCTCTTCATCACTTAGTTGTATTTTTTCTGGAGCTTTGATCTGTTCTTTCATTTGGGCCATTTTTTTTATTGTCTTGATGCACCTATTACATATGAGGGGTGGAGCCTTAGGTGTTCACCAGGGCAGGGCAACCCAGTCTGTGTTGTGATGCTGTATGTGGGGCAGGGCTCTGAGAGGGAACAATGGTGCTTGCTCTGCTCTCTGCCAGATTTCAGTCCCTTCCGCTCCTTCCCCCAAGCAAATCGGGCCCTTCTGGTGCTGATTCCCATGTGGGTGGGGTTGTATACATCCTGGGACCCTGTGGGTCTCCCCAGTGAACTTTCCTGTGAGGCTGGGAGTTTCTCCTGGCATGTCAACCCCCACAGGTGTTTTCAATTGGTGGTTTGAGGCTTTATTTCCCCTCACTGGGACCCTGGGTTGCCTGGTCTGCCTTGCTCCCCAATTTCACCTAATTTATCTGTGCACGAATGTGGGACTGCCTAGTCAGCCAGCCACTTTGTATGCAGCGCCCCTCCACAATCTGCTACCTCACTGGGTCTGCCAGCTGCTGCCTTGCGTGCCTGGGGTCCACCAGCCATGGCTTTGCTGAGACCCCTTCCATCCAGACTCCGCCTCTCCTACTGGTCTGGACTAATGTGTCTACTTTAATTCCTTGGTTGTTGGACTTCCATACAGTTCAATTCTCTGTCAGTACTGGTTGTTTTTTGTTTCTAAATTGTTGTTGTCCTTATTTTGTTTGTGTGAGGAGGCACAGTGTGCCTACTTATGCCTCCACCTTGGCCGGAAGTCCATTTGTTGTTTTTTAGGGGTGCTGAGAAAGGCAGGAGGGATGGGAGAGTTAAAAACTATTGGTTTATGTAAACTTTTTCATATTACTGAATCATAATTATATTCTTCATCTATTATTTGATCTGACAAAAGATTGTTGAGTGATAACAGTAGTTAATGCAGCTTCACCATGGCTTGTGAATTGTGGGGGTTAACTGGAGACATCCTGCATGACCTATCTGGACTAGATGGCCTTTTAAATAACTTGGTCGTTAATGAGGAGCAACAATATGATTATAGCATCAGAGGGAGAATGAAGTGAGCCCTTACTCCAAGCATGGCTCACCCCATGGGGATAATGAATAACATCGGTTCTGTTTTCAAGTTTGTGCAGCAAAGAACAATATTTGTATTGGTCTGTTAACACTTCAACAAATCTGGCAAGCTGGACAAGAAGGATTTGATCTAATTTTAGTTGGAGTAAACATACTGTTGCCCTCCCATTGTATTTGGACTTTTCATGAATAGAATGACAGTTTAGTCACGCTACTGTCCAGCTCATCTTCTTGTCTCCCCTCCCTTCACTGGCAGCAGAAATCAGTGATGAGCTCCACTGAGGTGTTTTTGCAAATGTCATCCTTTTACACGGTAGGCCAGAGCATTTTTCTGTGTATTTAAAACTGAGGAATGCAGGATTACCACTTTGGGTCCCTTGTGAGCACAGGATTCGACACTATTTGCACTCTATAATTTATGACATTTTTATGGATCACCATTCAGGCTTGCACAAAGCGGAGAGAGTGAATCTGTAGAGGAAAAAAGAAAAAGGGAAAATGTGAATATGCCCATGTGCTGCAGCTACTCAGTGAGGTGAAGAATCTTGTAGTTTGTTTTGTTTGAAACAGACTTGACTTCTCTGGACCCATTTGTTCTCAATTTTTACCCACTCAATCCTTTTGGCGTTGACATTTTGTATTCTGAAAATTTAAGATGTCATGACTGGTGACTTGTTTTCTTGAAAAGTGTTTCTTAAAATGTCAGGTCGCTCTTGTCTTAGATGGATTTTGGAGTCTGCCTCTGATATTACTTTAACATAAAATTTTAATGATGTGTTTTATCTTGTTTTACTTAAATCAACACAGATTTTGTAAATGGATTCAAATTTATTTTAATATATTAAAAGAGAGGGAACAAGAAGAGTCTTAGAGTAAAATTAAACACTTTTTCAAAATGGCACTTTGCTTTGTATTTTTGTTTAATGTGCATTTTTATTATTTGGTGTGAAGCTAGTGCTCATAAAGGTGATATGTGAATATATGAAAAAACAATAAGAAATGCATCAGAGTTGTGCATGCAGTCTCCACAGTACATTTAAATACACTCAACAGCTGCCCTAAGGAGCAAATTTAACATTTATCCAAAATGGAAAGCCAGTGAGAGGTTAGCCGTGGGAATGACTGGAGTCTGTCTGTATTTGAATTTCCATTTAACATAGATCATCATTCCAATGGATCCCCTGTGGAGGTGTGGAGAGATTTATGCCTGTCCGTTGCGGGAGTATTTCTAATTTTTTGGTATGCATCAGAATCAACTCAGGGGAGCCTGTTCACAACACAGATCTCCCAGGATTTAAACCGCAGTGTTTCTTGGTTGTTCTGGGACAGAGCCCAGTCATCTGTGTTTTGATTCATCAGAATCACCTGGGGAGCTTTTACAACACACTGGTGCCTGGGCTCCATCCCAGAATGCTGACTCAGATGCTCTGGAGCTGCAAGGCTGGGAAATCTGTTTTGATGTTCACAAAAGAATGAATGAAAAAAACCTGACTTATCTAGCAGGGATGGTTCTTGACAAACCTCATTTAGGGATAGGGTTGAGGTACTCATGAGAGACCATGAAAGAAGATGAGAATTCTCTGTCTCAAATGAGATTGCCCTGAGATTGGATGGCGATGATGATGTTGATGATGATGGTAACCAAGTGGCTGTAAGCTTTATCTCAGTCTTGCTTTTATTAGCTCTAAGTAGAGGACTTTTATCCTTGTACTTCTTTATGCTTTTGTAATTTTTGTCTGCTTAATTAACATCACTCAATAGGTACTTGCTCTCTTGTTCTTAAAATACTTATCATTAACCAAATGAACAAATTCTCTAACAATTATGAGGACTTGGAAAGAATAAAAATACACTGGATCTGTGTTGGCTATGCTGATAAAAACCAGCACCTGCTATATTTTATGATATTTTCTGAAGGATAAATTTGCTATGAGATGTAAAATTATCGGTGTGTGCAATTTTATAGATTAATTTCAGTTTTAGTATGCCATTATGGTGGCCATAACAGCATGTTTATCACCATCAGAGATATGTGGAGAATTTGAGTATCTTTCCTTTGCTCCATTCATTTACACAACCAGCCCATATAAAAATTGGAGTTGGTAAAAGCATTGGGTTAGGAAGATCAGGACTTGAGTTCTAGTATTCTGTCTTTCTGTTTATTAGTTCTGTGACCTTGGACAAGCTACTTGAAGTTTCTGGCCTTATTTTCCTCATGTATAAAATGATAATAATATGTTTGCAAGCAGGGGACTTAGACCAGTTAAACTCCTAAAAACCATTCCAGCTACAAGTTCCTGTACTGAGTCTGCAGAGGCAAGAGGAGTGGCCAAGGCAAGGTCAAGTCCAGTGAGCTGGGAGGGGTGGGCTTCAGAGCTCAGGTATCCCTCCCAGTGTTGTCCTTCAAACCGTAGCTGCCTTTCCAATCTTGTTCCTGGTTGCCATGGTTTTCCATGTCTCTTGGTTTGTAGATTCATGGATTTACTAAATAATGTGTGATAAAGCCTCAGTGGGACTTTTGTCATTTGCGAGGGACTAAAGACAATTTCGCAGAACTGTTTGCTGGCTTGGATAGTTGCAGTGCTAACAACATGTACTTGTTAAGACATGGACATACATTTATGATTAGGAGGAGTCTTAATGAAACATTCATGACTATTTCCTCCATTTCTCTGGAAAAATAAATTCAATCGCAGTAGGGTTTTTCACTCAGTGGCTTATTAGAATACATCCCTCTGCCTGGGTAATTTAAAGGCATAGTTAATATTTCTTCTGGTTTTCAAAGACATTATTGGACCCACAAATATCCTCTGATCCCTTGAGAAGAAAAAACCTTTCAGATCTTTACTTTGTAAATTAGTAAAGTAAAGGGAAATGATTACATCGTCATATTGCCACTTGCTGCTTGAGAATTCCACAGAAAATAATGACACCAGTGGATTATTTAGCGTGGTGGTTTGTGAAGCACAGATTGCTGCCACCTTGCAGATCTGCTCGTCTCTTACTAGCTGTCTGTGGGATGGTTTCAGCTCGCCCCTCCAGACCCACTCCCCGCCCCCATCCTCTGTGACCTGAGAGGCAGACCTGTACGACTGTGTCTACCAGTGTCTCAGTCTGCTCCGGTTGCTATAACAAAACACTGCAGACATTTATTTCTCTGTTCAGGAGGCCACGACATCCAACATCGAGGTGCCAGCCATTTCTTTCTCTGGTGGGCAATCTTCCTGGCTTACAGACACTGCCTTCTTGTTGTGTCCTCACAGGGTGGAAAGAGAGGACTCTGGTTTCTTTCTGTTCTAATAAAGGCACTGATCTTATTGTGGGTGCTCCACCCTGGTGACCTCATCTAAACCTGAGTACCTCCCAAAGGTCTTATCCTTTAAGAGCATCATACTGCGGGTTAGGGTTTTAACATTTAGATTTGGGGGGACACAAACATACAGTGCATCATAACCAGGTTCCATTGCCCTGCCCTCTGGGTGAAACTGTGCTGGTTTAATGGAAGACTCTGGTAGGAAGGGCTGCAAGGGAATGAAGTCAAAGTGTCCCTCTTCTGGCTCCCCCCTGCTGGGCTGCATCTACTGTCAGGCATCCTTTCTCTCTTCAGTGATTGGTCCTGGTCCGTTCCCCTCCCCTTTAGGCCTAGGGGTGGCATAGCTCCTTCATGCTGGTCTGCTGTCCTCCTGCAAGTCTTGACTCTGCACCACTTTTTGTAAACACTCACTTATTAAATATTCAACTCCTTATTGTAGAGCTGTCTAGTTTGTGCTGGGACCCTGACTGACTGTCTGAGGAGATGATACAAAGGGTCACTTAAGAACCTGCTTGTAACATTAGTACTCTGTTCATTGTGCCTGGTGTTATTACAATATTTACATCTTGATTTACTCAGGGAAATGGCTACTGGAGTGATTTGGCTGAGAAGCCACAAACTTCCTGGATTCAAAAATACATCTTCCTTTATTTTCTTTTTTTAAAAACAACAGTCATTGCATGGTGGAGGGTATGACAAGATGAACATTTTGTATTTTCTAGTAGGATGATAAATTGCTATAAACTTGATAGAAATACATATGGCAGTTTATGGTAAAGGCCTTTGAAATATTTGACTTGCCAACCTAGTAATTTTACTTCTAGCAATCCACGAAAAGGAAGTAATTGGAATTGCAATGACATGTACACAAATCATCTATAATATTGTTAATTATAATAATTCATAATAATATAAGTAACAGTGTTCAGCATTGTGAAAATGGTTTAAGTTAAAGTACCTCTATATAGTATTACATGAAATTAAGTTTATAAAGAATATTATATAACATGATTTTAAACATAGATGAGCTCAATTTTTATATATATATGTATGTAAGTGTATGTATACACTTATACACACACACTTATGTACATATATATGTAAGGTACATAATTGTCTAGCCACTGTGCTGTGCACCTAAACTAATACAAAATACCCATATTTTGTCATGTATAATACACAGTTTTTGCCCAAATTTTTTAGGGAAAAATAAGGGTGCATATTATACATGGGTAGTACTAATTCTGTATCTATATAAATGTTTTTAATTTTTTTATTTATACTTATGCATTAAAAGTGTAACTCTAGAAAGCAATAACAATATCTACATGTAAAATACTACCCTGGGAATCCAATAATTGGGTTTGTTGAACTTAAGGTGAATTTGAAAGCAGTGAAAGCAGTTTGGCCAACGATTCAACAAGAATCGTACCCGCAGAGCAAGATAGATTCTTGTAACTTGTATCTGTTCTTCTGCTTTGTAATTATTTGTTACATACAGTTTCTTATGCCATACTATGTTAAAAAATAAATGCTAAAATTCCTTTATAACACAAAAAATAAGTATCTAAATATAAATAAATAAATAATTGAAATAAAACATTAAAATGAAAGATTTTTTTCCTGAAAGTTTGGGCCAGAAATGTGGGTACACATTATAAATGGCAAAATAAGATAATACCGAATGTAAACTGGTAGTGAAAAAAAGTTTTTTGTATATTTTATTGATTATGCTATTTCATTTGTCCCATTTTTCTCCCTTTTATCCTTCTCTGCCCTGCACCCCTGCTCCCTCCAGCATTCCCCCCTTAGTTCATGTCCATGGGTCGTATATATAAGTTCTTTGGCTTCTCCATTTCCTGTACTATTCTTAATCTTCCCCTGTCTATTATGTACCTACCAATTATGCTTCTTACTTCCTGTACCTTTTTCCCATTCTTCCCCCCAAACCTTCCCCATTGAAAACCCTCCATGTGATTTCCATTCCTGTGATTCTGTTCCTGTTCTAGTTGTTGCTTAGTTTGTTTTTGTTTTTATTTTTTAGGTTAAGTTATCGATAGTTGATATTGAGTTTGTTGTCATTTTACTGTTCATAGTTTCAATCTTCTTTTTCTTAGATAACTCCCTTTCATATTTCATATAATAAGGGCTTGGTGAT